TCCATTTTCTTATTTCGAGTAAGATATTACTCTGCTCACTGAATCTAAATAACACTTCTTCATTTCTCGCATAATCGGGTCCAACTGATCTTCTCCATTCTTCTCCAACACCACATTTCGAAACTTTCCAGGTGTTTCTGATCTGCCCTAAGTGTCCACGTTTCAGCCCCATACAAAGCCATGGTCCAAATATAGCATTTCACTAGTTTTTTTTCCTCAAATTTAAGTCCAATTTGCTGGTAAAAAGATTCTTTCTTCTTGCTAAATGGAGCTTTTGCCATGGCAATCCTAGATTTAATTTCACAAGTACACCTTCCGTCATCTGTTAACAAGCTACCCAAATATTAAAAACATTTCACATTCTCCAGTTGTTTCTGGTCTATCTTTATTGTGACTGCGGTTGGTTGTCTCGAAATTTTCATTACCTTTGTTTTTTCCACATTCATTTCTATGCCATAGCACCTTCCAATTTCGATTAGTCTATCAATCATGCCCTGTAGCACAGTTTCTTCCTTAGCCATTAACACAAGATCATCTGCATATTTCACAGTTTGAATAATTTGCCTCCTACTTTGAAGTCTCCGAGCCCATCCAGATCTTCCTTGGTAAGGCATTCGCTGTACAAGTTGAACAGAATTGGTGATAAACAGCATCCTTGTCGAACTCCTCTTGCACACTTCTTGTCTCCCCTCTGTTCAGTCGCACTTTGACTTTCTGATCCATGTACAATTTAGTAATCAATCTTCTTTCACGGCAATCGATACCTGTTTCCTTTAGGATCTCCACACACATATATATATAATTACAGTTATCTTGTAAATCTTGCAGTAACTCAAGGATATTAACATACCTTTATTTCTGTTCACAGGAAAGCGTGAACATCTCACGCCAAGGGAATAACAATACGGTAGGTACAATTCCAGAATTATCATGTTGCAGACTTTTATGAAAATTGGCCCACTTAAATGCACTAAATCTATAGCCTGTCATCCTATAGTTCATGCAGTTATTATTAGCCTATTTCTATTGTTGTTCCTGCAGTCATTATCGTCATTATTTTCAATGTAAGCTTACTTTAATGTAGCTGTGGGTATCAGAATGGTTTAGAAATATTTATTTATGGCTTAGTACAGACCTAAACGTCTGCTCACATTAAAACCCGACTGACTTCACATTTCATGTGGCTGTGTTTGAAAGCTTAATCGTGTTAGATGTTGGCAGTTCTTTGTTTTGCACTAAGTTAAATTAAGTAATGGAAAATATAGTCTAGTTGGAAGGGGAGTTCCTTATTATGTATGAATCGTTCATATGTGAACTCTCAAAGTCAATACAATTGATAGAAAGAAGCACTTGGTGGGTTTGATTCTCATGCAAATGACGCTGTAACAACTGCTGTGGATGTGTGCCGTTGATCGAGATGAGAAGGCAAGAACCGATTATGAGTTGATAATTAGTTTAAATGTTGCTGTAATTGCCTTGTTGAAAGACATATTTTAACCTATATATTATATTGTCACGTGTAGGGTAGTACATGTGACAAAAATAAGGGGTTCTAGTTGGATGATTGGATTCCTTAGCATTTCAGTTACAATTCATCTTAATTACAATTAGCAGAGTGCTTTCACTGATTTACACTTTATACTTTGCTGTTATACATATACAGTAGTCCTCTCCTGGTAACGCAGTTATACATAGGAACCAGCACTATCACACTCCAGATGTCACAGTACTACAGAACGCATAAAGTCTTTAATATTTCACAGCTGAATCCTCACAACTCCTTTCCATAACAGCTTCGTGTCCTTGACTTGGGAACTCTCAGCTGCGATTAACTTCAAACGAGCTTCACTCTCCCATATAAAACTTCGGCACAGACACGGACCTACAGTAAACACATATCATGTGGTCGCTATCCAACCAGTCTATTGGCGCGTCAACCGGATCTACAGAAAACACAGCCTCCTATATTGTTGCATAACATAGCAATGGACTGTTTACCAAGAATCTTGCCTTCGCTGTAACTAGTTTAGCAACTTGTTGTTAGCAATGGGTGTACATGTAACACTGCTCCCAACTTAAGGCTTTACTTCCAAAATAGCCTAGAGGCGTACTACCTGTTCTTTTCCAAGGATTCCTTCTGGCTTTCTCATCAATATCCTATAAGCATTCCTCTTCTCCCCCAATCTTGCTACATGTCCTTCCCATCTCATCCTCCTTGGCTTGATCGTTCGAATTATACTTGGAGAAGAGGACAAGTTATGAAGCTCCCAATTATGCAGTTCTCTCCAACCTTCTGTCACTTCATCTCTCTTTGGTCCAAAATTATCTTCAACACCCAGTTTTCAAAAACACTCAGTCTGTGTTCCTCCCTTATGACAGAGACCAAGTTTCACACAGACAGAACCACAGGCAAAATTATAATTTTATATATCCTAAATTTTGTGCTTTTAGACAGCAGAGGAGAAGACAAGATTCTGAACTGAATGGTAGCAAGCATTACCCGAATTCAGTCTCTTCTTTACTGTGTTCACAAGAGCCCTCCACTGGTCCCTATCCTGAGCCAGATCTATCCAATTCATACCATCCCACTCTATCTCTCTAAGATCCATTTTAATATTGTCCACCCACCTACGCCTTGGTCTTCCCCGTTGTCTCTTTCCTTCTGGCTTTCCCATCAATATCCTATACACATTCCTCGTCTCCCCCATTCGTGTTACATTACCTGCCCACCTCATCCTCCTTGATTTGATCATTCTAATTATACTAGGAGAAGAGTACAAGTTATGAAGCTCCTCATTATGCAGTTTTCTCCAACCTCCTGTGACTTCATCTCTCTTTGGTCCAAATATTCTCCTCGACACCCTGTTCTCAAACACCCTCAGTCTATGTTCCTCCCTTAATATCAGAGACCAAGTTTCACACCCATACAGAACCACAGGCAAAATTACAGTTTTGTATATTCTAATTCTTATGTTTTTGGACAACAGACAAGACGAAAGGTTCTGGACTGAATGGTAGCAAGCATTACACGAGTTCAATCTCCTCTTAATTTCCTCCTGAATCAGGTTTCGACCTGTTATCGTTGTTCCCAAATATCTGAACTGTGCCACATTTTCAAAACATCTGTTTCCTATTTTTATGTCATGATTTTGCCCTGCATTTTGGTGACGAGACAGCAACATATACTTAGTTTTCTCTGTGTTTACTTCTAGACCAACCTATTTACTTGCGTCAATTAAAGTTTGTGTGTTTCTCTTTATGGTTTCTATATTATCACCCAGTGGATTCACATCATCGGCATAGGCCAACAGCTGATGTGTCTCGTTAATTCCAGTCCCACCTGGTTTCCCTGGATCTTTCTAATGGCATATTCTAAAGCAAAGTTGAAAAGGAGTGGCAATAAAGCATCTCCATGTCTTAGACCATTCTGGGTAGGAAATTCATCACACAAATGTTTACCTATACAGACTTTACTTATAAGTTTCGTTCAAACACATTTTAATCAATCTAACTGGTTTCATGGGTATCCAAAACTCTATCAGAATATTGTACAGTACTTTCCTCCTAACTGAATCATAGGCTTTTCTTGAAGTCTATGAATAGCTGATGTACTGTCTCATCGTACTCCCATCTTTTCTCCAATATCTGATGAATGCAAAAGATATTATCTGTAGTTGATCTGTTATGTCGAAACTCACACTGATGATCCCAAATAATTTCATTTATATATGGACTTAACATTGAGATAAGAATATTGGATTAAATTTTGTATGAAGTTGATACCAGGGATATCCCCCTATAATTACTACAGTCAGTTTTATCACCCTTCTTGTGTTCTGGTACAATAATAGACTCCTTCCACTGATCAAGCAATTTTTCATATGCCAAATAGAAGTAATTAGATTGTGGATCTTAGAATGTAATACAGTGTTTCGCCTCCTGCTTGAGTAAGTTCTGCCAGAATTCGATCACTACCTGGAGATTTATACCGTTTCAATTTTGCAATAGCACTTTCAGCCTCAAAAGGGCTAGGATCAGGTACTAACAGCTTAGCTGTATGGATTTCTGTCTGCCTAGAGCGCTGATCCTATGTACATTCAATAACAGAGAAGTAGTTCCTCACCCATTCAAAATGTTGCGGGAATCTGCAAGCAGATCACCATTCTCATCCTTCACTAAGTTACTGCTAGGCTGGAAACCCCTCTTAAAGTCCTTTATTCTTCTATACAGGTCTCTTTATGTTCTTGTTCTTACTGTTTATTGCAAGCTCATCAATTTTGTCTTTCAGATATTCCCTCTTTTTGTTCCTGAACTGCCTGCTGGTTTCACTTCTTATATTGTTCAGATTATCCCCATGTAGCTCGCTTGGATCCTGTAACCACTGCAATTTGGCCTGCTTCCTTTGGTCTGATAATTTTGAGCATCCTTCATCGAACCATGGCTTATGCTTCTTCGGTTCATAATAACCTAGACTCTCTTTGGCAGACATTTTTATATTCTCTCTAATAGTTTGCCAAGCTTTATTAACATCCACCTCAGTTTTCAAGTTTTCCAAAGCCGCGAACCTATTTGAGATTGCAACACAATAGTGCTCTTTACCCCCTACCTCATTGAATTTCTTGAGATTAAACTTCTCCATATGAATGCTATGTGTTGTTTGTTTGCTCATTGCCAGTCTTTCCCTAACCTTTTCCACCACCAGGTAGTGGTCAGTATCACAATCTACTACCCTGAATGATCGGACATCAAGTATACTTGACTGCCATCTCCTGTCTATCAAAATATGGTCTATTTGACTGTGTATCTTCCCATCGGGAGATCTTCAAGTAAATTTATGGATGAAGAAAGCAGTCTTCTGGGATTTGGCACCGTGTATAGGTGCCAAATCCCAGAAGACTGCTTTCTTCATAGTTACCGCCATGAAAGCCTCAAATATTACAAATTTATGGATGTTACGATGTGGGAACATTTTACTTTTGACACTACGATTTTTTAATGTGGCAAAGTTTACAACTCTAACTCCATTATCATTACTAATATCATGCAAACTCTCATTCCCAATTGTTGGTTTGAAAATGTCTTCCCTCCCTACTTTGGCATTGAAATCTCCTAACAAAATTTTCATAGGGTACTTCGGGAATTTATCAAATACATGTTCTAGTTTATCCTTTATGTCATCAATTTTATCTTCTGTTGGGGCATGAACATTCGTAACACACACACACACATCACATCAGCAACCTTTAGTATTATATATGATATCCTATCACTAATGAATTCTACCCTCTTAACTGCTGATACGATTCTCTTATGTACGAAAAAACCTGTACCTAATTCATGATTTTCATTCCCCTTTCCATAGAAAAATGTATAGTCTCCTGCTGGTGCGATGCCACCTCCATCCCATCTGACCTCATGTACTCCCATTAAATCTAGCTTATATTTTAAGATTTCTTCTGCCACTGCCCTGAGCGAACCTCCCCTATACAAACTTCATACATTCCAAGTGCCAAATCTCATATCCATTTTCATTAGCTTAGGTCGTTTATCCAAGGAATCAGTCCAGGTCCGAGGCTTTGTGTTCATTTTCATAAGATACTGATTTTTTATGGTGAGTTGTTAGCCCCAAACCCAACCCCCAAGCTGGAGGGCCACCCCTTGTTGGCTCTCTACTGCTGCTTATTCAATATATTTGCAGCTTCCCTCCAAAACTGGAGGGCATCTCCTCCAACCACAACCTGAGGACGTGCCATGCCATGGTGACAGACCCACCTAACATGGCTGAAACATGTAGTGTCAATAAAAGAAAGGAGTGATTGAATAGTAGCCGAAATTGCACCATAAAAGCAAAACGTAAAGTCAGATCCTAAGTACTCTAGCAGTGATCATGTCAGCAAAGTGTTGACTGAAAATATGGCCTAATGGTGATAAACAGTGTGCTGTAGACCAGTGTTTCTGTGAAGCAAAATGTGAGGATTATGGGTTAGCCTGACTTGACAGGAGGGTGTCCAACTCTTCTGCCAGAATGTGTACTGATTCATTTGCACTGCATTGGTTGTCAAGCTTGGGGGTTTTGTTTGTTGTGGCAGTGTGTGGGTATCATTCCTTGTTGAGTTGGTCTGTTCCTGTGTGTGAACCAGCAGGTTACTAGAATTTTATGAAAAGTTTAAAAATGTGTTCACATACAACAGACTACGGTGGCAGTGCAACGGTGTGACAAGTGCCTACACCTGATGATGGCCATGTGAGGCTGAAACACTTCGTAAAATCATATACACAACATAAAAATAAAACGTTGCATTCGAGATGATGGTGACACATATATACAAGAGGTCAGTACTCATGCAATGGGATGCTGAAATACGTTACATAGAAATATTGTTCTGAGAATCACAGGCCCCCTGAAATTGTTTGAAATGTATGTCAACTATTCGGAACAGCAAATACTTAATCAATACTGAGCCAATTATTGATTAGGATACATTATTATGTCCTTTTCGCGCAGTGTGCCAGAAACTGATGCACATGGAAATAAAAATTTGTAATTATTAATTTCCTGCATTTGTTAAGAAGAGTTTTGTGGAATGATGAAGCTGTGAAATGGGGACGAACACTAGAAGTACTACCAAAATGTGATAACCACAGAAACTATAGGAGCTCCTATTAAATGCACAAGTTGTGGTAAGGATAATGGCCATAAACTGTGTCTTAAACATCTTGGAGTATGCATTATCTTTAGAAAGCAATATAGATTACTATGTCATCAACTCGTTCTGTTTTCAACATTCAGTGGGAATCAAACTTGCCATAACAGGGACTGGACTGAACACACTGGACTTCTGTAACAGAAATGAGATGACTCAGATTAAAAGTTGTATACAGAGTAGTTAGTTGGTTGGAAGAAATTTAGAGGATGTCTAAGCCTTGAAAATAAGTGTGTACTGTCTTGTTTTGTTCCTGTGTCATATGGCCTCTGTTTACATGTATTTTCCAGATTCAGAATATGCCTATGGGTAAATAATGGGGGTCTCAACTTTTTTCTTTTTTACAAAAGCATGTCTTTTGCATTTGTTGTGATTATTTATAAGGTAAGTAACTTTTAGTTGAGGGTCTGGTACATTTGAGAGCAGTGGGATTGTCTGAAGTTTGTAATACTGCCAATTTCGGAAATGTTTTAGTAACTTCAGTGAGTCATACAATGCATTTAAGAGATCTCAGTGTTTGTGCACTTAACAGGAAAATTAAGGTATTTCCAAACAGATTGACAACTGTGTATTCCCTTTGCAATATGAGCTTGTAGAGGCAGCTTAGAGTTGGGAAGAAGGAAATGAGTTATGGAGGATAGAAGTGGCCAGTCACAACTGTGGTGGTGGGGGTGGAGGGGACTGCTTTTGAAGGAACAGTGAGAACTCTGGCTCCTCCCTGAAGAGGCCATAGAAACCTCTCATTCACACCTTGAAGGAACACAGGAAGGATCTTTAAGAAAACAGGCCCTGCATTGGCTTGGCTTTCCATTTTCCTTTACCCATTAAAGGACTCTGTTACTCTCCTTTGTCCAGACCTAGAGTAATTGTCCTTTTCAGGGTGTATGACTTTGATTGGCCCATCTGGGGCCCCATGACCCACATTGCTTTTCCTATGTATCTAATGTATAACCAGCCATTTTCAAAACCTGTCGTTTTATTTTTGTGTGTGTGATTTTACGGCATCGTCTGTAGGTAGACTATGTATGTTCGATAGGTAAATTGGTAAATGTATGATAATCTGGAAAGGATTTGGAGGGAAGCAGTTGTGGCCTGATAGATGTACTGTTGTGACACTTGCTTGAAGGGACTGAGGAATCATGAAAACCCTCTCATTTTAGCTGGTGTGACAGCTGAGATTCAGACTGTAGACCACCTGAATGTGAGCTTGGCCCATGACTGCTAAACCAATGCACTTGACTCAGTTCAAGACTGGAAATGGAGGCAAATGTAGCTTTGTTCGTCCCCACCTACCAGGTTACCCAATGTCATAACCTAGAAGATCACAATATAGAAATGTCCATAAGGTTTGGAGGAGGAATTAACAGTACGAGAGTATAGCATGGCATGTACATTTCAAATGTCTTCTGCATTGGTTTTATATGAATTTGGTTTGAGTTTTAGGACTTTATGGTATGTCCACTTTTCTTATTATAAATCTCCCAATGACAACATGATCACAGCTGCAAATATAGGTATAGCTGACTGACTTAGATTATTCTGTGATTCAGATTAGCTCTTTCAAATGGACCCACCTGAGTAGGACCTCATCACCTCTGGGACAGGCACATATCAGTGTTTATGAAACATTGCCTTCATCCAAAATAGACTGCTGTGATAACAGGAGTCCACATGGGGGCACTGTCCAAGCTGGGTTGACTGATCAGATGGTCTAGCAGAGATACGTGGGCAGGATCCTTGTGTTTCCTGTGTGTGGTGTTTGGTTCAATCTGCAAGACCTTCGCTTCTTTCCAACATATTTTGTGTTCTTCCACACACAGGAAACACAAGGAACCTGCCCACATATCTCTGATAGACCATCTGATCAGTCAACCCAGCTTGGACATCTCTCCCATCTGGACTCCCGTTAGCATAGGAGAAGTAAAAGAAATCAGTTCCACCCACTGTAGATCAAGTGGGAACATCTGTGTTTTTTATGTTGGTGCCATACAGAGAATTTATCTCTCCAGTGATGACTACANTGATTCAGATTAGCTCTTTCAAATGGACCCACCTGAGTAGGACCTCATCACCTCTGGGACAGGCACATATCAGTGTTTATGAAACATTGCCTTCATCCAAAATAGACTGCTGTGATAACAGGAGTCCACATGGGGGCACTGTCCAAGCTGGGTTGACTGATCAGATGGTCTAGCAGAGATACGTGGGCAGGATCCTTGTGTTTCCTGTGTGTGGTGTTTGGTTCAATCTGCAAGACCTTCGCTTCTTTCCAACATATTTTGTGTTCTTCCACACACAGGAAACACAAGGAACCTGCCCACATATCTCTGATAGACCATCTGATCAGTCAACCCAGCTTGGACATCTCTCCCATCTGGACTCCCGTTAGCATAGGAGAAGTAAAAGAAATCAGTTCCACCCACTGTAGATCAAGTGGGAACATCTGTGTTTTTTATGTTGGTGCCATACAGAGAATTTATCTCTCCAGTGATGACTACATACTATTCTGATAGCACTCTGCTGCTAGGCCTCATACATGTGGAGTTTTTTTTATGTTTTAATGTTTTGTCTCAACTCTTGCAGATCGTTTGTTCTGTGCTTTGTTTTTATACCCTATCTTGTTGCAGACATATGGAGATATGTAACAGCATAAGTCAGAAGAGAAGAGAAGAGAAGAGAAGAGAATTTAACTTCGAAGCATGTATTTTTCATTGGATGTGAGAAATCATTAGTACACTGATAAGACCAAAGGTTCTGAACTTTTGTGGAAAGGATTTCTAGAGTACTTTGTAATGTCAGTAAGGAAAATAACAAAATAAGGAAAACGGAAACAGAAATAAAGCTGTCTGTGGCGACTTGTTTTTCAGTTTCTTGTAATGAACTCATGATTTTGTTCATCGATATATCTGGATTAATTAGTTTTAATTAATTTCAAGAACGAATATAGCAATTACGTATCTTACTAGTTAGCCTACTTTCCTTATACTGAAAAAATAAAAGTGAGCTTATTTGGCCACCTTGCTGTCTGTCTGTACCTGTGTGTCTGCATGTCTGTGCATCTCCCTTAATAACTTTTTAATCTAATTGCCTTGTATCGCCTACGCAACTCTAAAAATGTATACTCATTGTTTTTTAAAAATCACTACATGTTTCGACCATCCAAATGGTCATCTTCAGGGGTCGACTCAGCCTCTAACAGAAATGAGTACCAGGAATATTCTTGGAATATTCTTGGGGGTAAAGGGCGGCCGGCGCGTAAGGCTGACAACTTTGCTGCCATCTATGAGCCGATTGTCTAGAAAATGCTGGAACCTCAACATCTCACTACCCTATGGGCCTCCACGGCCTGTTATAGGGATAACTTTACTTTTTACTGTTTTAACTAAATTTTTAATGCCTGGGCCAATCTTTATGAAGCTTTGTATATAAATATCATGGCACTTGACTCCATCTCAACGACATATTTCAAAATCCCTCTCACCAGTAATACCAACAATACAGCCTCTCAGATTTCTGAGACATAACCCTAATCTCGCTTGAAAACTTGACTTCAAGAGGTATGTGTATCACGACAAATATAGTCAATAAAGCCACCTCAACGGCATGCTCCGTAAGACCCTTAGATATAGTAGCAACATTACAGCCTCTCAAATTGTTGTGGGAATAATGGTCATGTTACTTAAATTCCTGAACCCATCGTCATTGCTTCTGACTTGAGATGAAGTGCTTCCATCTGGAGAGTGTGCACCTCTTTGCAGGAAGCAGCTTTTTGTTCCTAAACACACACAACACATACATCCTGCAACTCAAATCAAAATGGCAGAACATGGAGTTCTAAGTAGAACTCATAAAAGCTAGTTTATGACTTCACAGACTTTCATCAAGATTAGTCTTTGATTTTGCTGGTGTAATTAAGGTTGAGATTTTGTGTGCTCTAATTTTTAACATTCATTTTCAATTTAATTTATGTTCAAGCCATGATCATAAAAAAAAACAAGGTGTCAATCTGGACAAGAACCAATGGCAGGTTCTTGTGAACATCATTTGAACCTACAGGTTCCACCAAAGGGGGACTTTTCTTGACTAGCTGTATGACTACTAGCTTCTCAAGAAAGATGTGACTACATGGAGTTATTTAGTTTCAGATATACAAATCTTCTCTTGTTAATGTGCTGTACTTATATAATATTATGTCCAACAATAAAGTGCAGTTTAGCTTCTTGCATGCAAATATATATGTATGTTATATTTTTATCATTGCTAGTGCCACCGCCACTGCCACCACCATAGTCAATATCATTTCTTTGTGACGAGCTGATTACTTAGTTTACATATTCTGACTACAATACATCTACCAGATATAACTTCAAAGTTTCATTACTGTCACTGTCAAATTGAAAGCTAAATGAAAACTTATGCATACTTGCTATGTCACTGTTTCACATTCTGCAAAAAATTACATCAATAAAAGTTGCATATTTTTCAATGCTCTACAAACTTTAAGATCCTACATAAAGTGGCACTAGTGATAGCCTTGTTATTATTGATTATAGGGAATTAGGAAGTACAATGTTGGGCCCCCATGGCATAATATTTCATGAAACAGGTTAATTTTCTCAAAAGTTGAAAGATGTTACACATACAGCATGGTGTTCTCATAAGCCTACTTTATTCCTTAATGAAGAAAAAGAGGCTATAAAAATCAACAGTTGAATCTGCAGGTGTGTTTAGGGTCAAGTGACTAACTCCAAGTCCTCATAAACATACTAGTTGCTCAGATACCGACAAACTAAGTTAAAATGATGCACATAGTATGAAATATTTAACTCATGATGTTCTATGACTTCTGGAACATATTGTGGACAAGCCAGTATTCTCAACATCTTGCTACTCCTGCTGCCATTATATCTCATTCCTCCATCCCCCATCATTAACGATCACAAGCACCAACTGCAGTAAGTAATCTTTTAACAGCTACTGTAACACTGCACAGGAAATAATTTTGCAGTCTGTAATGGAACATATGGCTAACACGGTAACAGTATGGTGGGGAAGAGTGGCGGCTCATAGCTGAAATTAGTGGGGGTGCTGCTCCAGAAAATTTGTAGCCTTTGTTTTAAAATTGTATAAAAGGAAACAAACATGTATAAAAAGAAAATTTATTCAGAAACTTGATAAAATCCTAAAAGAACAAAATCAAACATTTTTTACTTACTTTAACCTAAATTGTTAAGAGTTCAAGCTTAATCTATTCATTTAAAAATGTAATCCATTCTTCTTGTTTTAATTTGCGTGAAAAGATCAATAATTTTCTCCTTGATCTCTGGATGACAACTGAGGAAACTTCTCCATTGAAAGCACTGCAAGCGCATTTAGTCTTTCTGAATTCATAGTGCTTCTTAGAGGCAGAGCGCTCATGGGAACTGTCAAGAGGATTTTTATCAGTTTCGTAATTTCACTAAAACATCATCTAGATTGTTTTTCAAGATAAATTTCAGCAGCTCAATTAATGTGCAATATTCATGAATATCAGACCTACAGTAGAATACTTTTACTTCAGTCTCAAGCTTTTCTTTGTCAATCATGGGATATGCTTCAGTGGTCAGTACTATCTCTTCTGTTGGATATTCATTCTTAAAACTAGTGAAGCATTTCTTGTTGGACAATTTAGCAGCTACTAAGTCTTTAGTGAAAGAATATCTGTCAATTATATCAACACATACAGTCACACACTTCCTTAGCTTCTGCCATGAGTGTCTTTGAAGGATTCTCACAGTACTTTGAGTTTCTCAATTCTAAAATAGCAGTTTTGAAATTTGTTAGATATTCATTAACTTTAAACACACCAATTTCTCGAGATTGCATTTGGTTGTAAATTATTTCAACATGAGGCATAATCTGATGAAAAGCTCTAACCAAAACTTGAAATTATCATCATCCAGGTATTTTAAAATTCCTGTTGCTTATGCAATGGTTTGATCTGCATTTGGTGTTGACTGAATTGCAGTAAGGCAGTTTATTAAAGGTTGCAAATTTTCATGAACTCCGTTTATGGCCCGTATGTTGAAGTTCAACCTTGTAGAAGATGGACGTGGAATGCTGGCTTCCATATGCTTCTTGAGAATGGACACACGTTGCGGTGATCTTGAGAAGAATGTTGGAATAGCCAGAATGTTAGAGAAAAATATTCTTGCGTTTCATGTAATACTTGCTGCATTTCTCATTATTAAATTAAGTTGATCATTTCTCATTATTAAATTAAGTTGATGTGCATAACGGTGAATGAAATGTGCATTACCATAAACTGCTTTTATTTTTGCTTGAACTCCTGCTTTTTTGCCTTTCGTGACATTTGCACCGTCAAATGTCTGAGCTATCAGTTTTTGTCCATTTCCTTGAAGGATTATGTCCAATTATTCTAAAATACGTTTTGATATGCCATCTGCAGCNTGATGAAAAGCTCTAACCAAAACTTGAAATTATCATCATCCAGGTATTTTAAAATTCCTGTTGCTTATGCAATGGTTTGATCTGCATTTGGTGTTGACTGAATTGCAGTAAGGCAGTTTATTAAAGGTTGCAAATTTTCATGAACTCCGTTTATGGCCCGTATGTTGAAGTTCAACCTTGTAGAAGATGGACGTGGAATGCTGGCTTCCATATGCTTCTTGAGAATGGACACACGTTGCGGTGATCTTGAGAAGAATGTTGGAATAGCCAGAATGTTAGAGAAAAATATTCTTGCATTTCATGTATTACTTGCTGCATTTCTCATTATTAAATTAAGTTGATCATTTCTCATTATTAAATTAAGTTGATGTGCATAACGGTGAATGAAATGTGCATTACCATAAACTGCTTTTATTTTTGCTTGAACTCCTGCTTTTTTGCCTTTCGTGACATTTGCACCGTCAAATGTCTGAGCTATCAGTTTTTGTCCATTTCCTTGAAGGATTATGTCCAATTATTCTAAAATACGTTTTGATATGCCATCTGCAGCTTGATTTTCTGGAATAAAGAATCCCCAAAAACGCTCAAATATTTCTCCATTCAATACATACCGTAGAACAAGGACCATTTGAGTGTGTTCCAAAACATCTGTTGTGTCATCAGCCATGACAGCTACAAAGGAAGCCTTCCTAATTTCCGTCCTTATCTCCTCATGGTATATTTGTAGCAGGCAGTCAAGTATCTCATTCTGAATGGTCTTAGAAACACCTTTGAAGACTGCACTGGTTTCTAAGTGATGCTTCAAATCTGAATCTAATTTAGATGCAAAATTTACTAATCCTCTAAATACCCCTGTATTTATTGAATCGTCTCTTTCATCATGTCCACGTAAGGGAGTTTCAAAGTTTCCACAAAAGAAAATGCAGTCTATTATTTTGGACAAAATTTCATGGTTCTTTTTAACCTTTATATTATGCTCACTGATTGAAAGTCTGTATGCCTAAGTAAGTTTCTCCTTAATACTTACTGTTCCTAAAAGTGACAGCGAAACTACATTATCAACGTGCTTCTTTGACTTCTCATGCTTTTCAGTTTTTTCTTTCATTTTGTTTATATTTCTAAAACCATCTTTTGTCCACGTTACATCACCCCCAAACAGCAAACAGGGGAAGCAAAACAGTTCATTTTTTACTTCACAGCCGCAAAGTCAACTTTTCCGTTTGTATNACCCCTGTATTTATTGAATCGTCTCTTTCATCATGTCCACGTAAGGGAGTTTCAAAGTTTCCACAAAAGAAAATGCAGTCTATTATTTTGGACAAAATTTCATGGTTCTTTTTAACCTTTATATTATGCTCACTGATTGAAAGTCTGTATGCCTAAGTAAGTTTCTCCTTAATACTTA